GGTGATCAAGTGGAATGATGGTTTACTAGCTAATCACAAGATTCAGTAGTTTATTACTAAACATTGTTGTTATAATTGTGTAGTGTGCTCTTTGAAGGCACCAGTTCTGTAGAGTTTGGGCATTTACTTGGACAATTATTAATTGTAGCAGTAAATCACAAAATGATTCTTTTGATGGCCTTAGAATCCAACCATGCGATATAACTCAAACAACACACACACACAGGTACTAATACACGAGGATACATTTATTAATACATAGAATATGCATATAAACCTAACAGATCTTATCGAGAGGGTTATCAGAATACAAAACGTATATATTCAGTCAGTTACGAGGACATACGTTCAGTATATCATTCATTTAGACCGTTTCGTAAATGAACTTGGTTAGAACTTCTACATTACATACTCAAAACAAGTACATAACTCTTAGGAATTAAATTGATATCAACTGGTTGGGATAACAATTGAATTCTCAAGCAGTAATGCAGTGAAGTTGAATACTCATCCAATCTTTGGGGATTCAGATCTCCTGCAGGCTCTCTGGCTCCGTGCCAGGCTGTGCGGCTTGCGACGGTGCGCTGCTGATGCTCACTGGCCGGCTAGTTCGTGTTGGCTTTAACTAGCAAAGTTTGTGCACAGGAGAAAAGATGACTGTGGGTCCCAGCAAGTCAGGAAGAAGACCGGTTCGTTCCTGATGAAGAGCTAGTTCTGAATAGTGATTCAGCTGTCCACAGTTCTGACCTGTTCACGAGGCTTGCTGCTGATGCTAACCTCGGGTGGATCCTCTGGTTACTCTCTGGCAACCTCCGCTCTACACTCTTAGAACAAAGGAAAGTTCTGGCACTTGGACACACTGGCCGTTCCGTGGTTGTCCGGGCTGAGTCTCAGGATGGTCAGGAGGCACTCTGCGAGAATGTCCTGCCTTCTGCTCCTGGGCTGTCCTGCCCTGGAATTCTCCTTTGAATTCCCTTTAGAAAAGTCCACAGAATAGTCTCCCAGGCCCTCTGTGTTGCCTGTTTTTAGCTCGTTCGTTGGCTGAAAGTTCCATGGGCATCAGAGTCCCACGTGGGTTACTCGGCCCTACCAGTCCCTGATTGGTTGATCAAGGTGAGATATGAGTCACTTACTCCTGACACTTAGGAATGCAGTCCAGATGTCCATCTGGCACTCCCTAGACAGATAGGCGCCAATGGATGACCATTGATCATGATAGCCAGGCTTAGCTAAGTGCATCCCAATTTGGGAGCTGTCCCTTTTAAACATCTTTAAATCAGCCTGCATGAATAGCTTCTCTGTGGCTGCACCACAGAGATGAAGAGAGAGATGGGGCCTCATTTGGGAAAGCACCACAACACTTAATTCTGTCTTATTAACAAGCATTGCCGCTACAATTGTTACAAATTATGTTAAAATTGCAAAAAGTATATATTCAATCCATTATCAGGTGTAGGAGGTTTGGGGTTTTAATTTGCTGTATTAATCAGGAAGTTTAACAGTAAATTGTGAGAATGTTTGACAACTTTTAGGAACGATTCAACATCATAATTTACAGTAGCATAAATGGATTCTTAATACAAAATATACAATTTATTGATATAACTAAAACATGCCTTACAAGCAAGAATGTCATAGTATATATATATACTGATGGAAAAAAGAAATACAACATTTTCTGGAATGAGAATACTATAGTTATAGCTTATATACTTTCACAAAAAGTTGTCAATTTGTTTTAAGCCCTCTAACCAGCAATACAACTTGTGCAGTGAGGCATTGCAACTTGCCTATTACACTAAAGTTTGTTTGTTGCACTTTTACCCAACGAGGTCCAGGTGGAACAAATCCTGATCAGGTCACGTTTAAAAAGGCCTTAATTCAAAGCTTATGTGACTGCAAGAAAAAGGCCACACTTAGTCAGTTTTCTGTGCATTCCATAATGCCTTGAATGTTTTTTAGACAATTATGTACCCAGCCTATCACACCATGTTCCAAAAAAATTCACTGGGAAAACAGCACTATTTGAGCAAATTTACATTTTCATGTTCATCAGTTCTCTGTTCCACTGTCAAAACAAATGTTCTCAGCTTCAGTCCCCAGTGGTTCCTGTTTATAAACCAGAGGGACACCTATAGAGCTGAGGGGGGTTTTTGTACAGATCTGTATCACTGTGTGAACTGATTGCTTTTATAACCGAGACAATAATAGTCTCCTGCATCTTCAGCCAGGACTCCACTGACAGTCAAAGTAAAGTCAGTCCCAGATCCACTGCCACTGAAACGTTCGGGGATTCCAGACTGACGACGATTTGCCCAGTAGATGAGGTGTTTAGGAGCTTCTCCAGGTTTCTGTTGAAACCAGTAAATTAGGTCATCTCCATCACTATCAGTAACAGATTCACTAGTTTTACAGTTGATAGTGGCAGTCTGTCCTGGGAGAGCAGACACAGCTTTAGGAGACTGAGTCACATTGATCTGCCCAATGGAGTCTGAAAAACAAGTATAAAAAAGAATATTTGATGTAAGACTTGGTTTGAAGTTATGTTTATATTAATATGCTGTAGAATAGTGTACAATTTTCCATAATGTACTAAGATATTTGGACTGTAAATGTATCTTCTTTCACATTTGTAAAATTAAAATATGACCTTAGAAACAATAATAAAAATCCTCTTACCTTGAGCAAAGAGCACCAGTGTTCCCAGCAGTAGAATCAGGGGCATCATTGTGCTGTGTGTGTCAGTGGCTCTGAACGTCCTACTCATGACTGATCAACACTGAGTCTTAAAGAATTCGGGGCAGTGAGGTGGCACAGGTATGCAAAGCACTTTCCTGTATACAAAACATGTCACAGATGATGAGCTTTAAACACTATGGGCTGCATCAGTTAGAATTTATTCTGTTTTTATCACACTGTGTATTAGTGCTGTTTAATCTGCTAAAAATAACAACTTTGTACTTATAAATTTGAATACTTTTATGTTGAAAAAAATATATATTGACAATATAAGTTCATGAACTGCATGTAATTACACTGTACACTTTTAACACCACAGTTTTTAGATGTGCATGGAACTAAAGGTCAATTTTCCATAAATGCTTATTTTGTTTCAAATATGACATACTATAGTATCCAGGTGATGAGGCCCCTCAGTGTTAAGAGTGGGGACACAGTGTACATCGGTGATGTGATGAGGTGTCTTCTCAGGGCCCCATCTTGTGAGAGGGGGTATATGGGGAAATTATACTGATAGAAATGTGGGTAGGGGGGAGGAAGGCTGGGACACCCTCAGCCAAAGATGAGACATAGATGTATGATCGCAGAACTGCAGTGATTCTGTAAGTCTCATCTCTCTTTTCACATGAGCTGAGGGCCTCCTGTGAGCACTGCAGACTCCTTCAATGAAAGAAAGGCTCTGAGCTCTTAGTTCTGTGTTTTACAGCAGGTGATTGGGGTCTCATTAATACACATGTTTTACAGAAATTTGGATGAAAATATTAATCATTGCAATTTTGATGCATCATCCTTTTTAACACTTTATGTTTTTTCTGGGTTAAATCTCACAAATTTAAGTGATAAGAAAAGATATCAGCAACATTATCATTTGCAAGATATTACATTATCTTGTATGTTAAAGGTCTGGATACATACAGACCCCCGTGACACTTTGTACTCTGTGTCTCTCTGCAGATCTTGATAAAGCAGAGCAGCTCTTATTGATATTGTTTGGAGCAGTGAGGCACGTTTTCCTGTACACAAATCCTGTCACAGACAATTATATGAGATTAGATCCATGATAGTGTTAGGTGAATTGTAATGCCTGTTTCTGTTTTTACTCCAGTCAAAGATCAGAGTGTACTGTATGTGTTTATCCATTCATCCATTTTCTAACTGGTTCATCCAATTCCCATACTGTATCTTTTTCTAGTAACAGAACACTGTGGACAAAAGATTAGGTCTCCTGTCAAAGAAAGGAAGATCTGGCACAGTCATGTGGAGTTTATAGACTAACAAATCAGCTTGATTTATGCGGAGTCAAAGCACAGAATGAGAAAACACATCACTACTTATCTGCACATTAGCAGTGGGTGTGAGATGCTGCTCGTGTGAGCGTGTAAAGAGGACAGCTGCGTTATGAGAGACAGATAGAGAGATGAAACTAGAGATGCAGCTATGAATATCCAGATAAGGGAATAAAATAAGAATGACAGTCTTGGAGGAGATTGGAAAGGAATAGCATAACATTAGATGTCTCCGAAGGGAAGGGTGAGAATGACAGTTCCACAGGGAATTGTGGAAGGAAAGAAAGATTTAAAGGAATGGTGTCCTATTTGTGAGTGATCAGGGCTCTCCAGGCCATCCGCTCTGTGTGTTTGTGTGAGATTGTGAGTAGCAGTGTGGTAATGTGTAAGAGTATGAAACAGTGTACCAGAATGTTAAGTGTGGTAGAGAGACGCTCTCACTGGCAATACGTGAAACAGGGGGACAGAGTTAAATAAAGTTTTGCTCACTGAAGCATTTGAGAAAGTATTCACAAAAATCAATGATCAATGGTTTTCTGGTTACAGCATCACAGAGTTTTTACCAGCATGATAGTTCAAAAATCATATACAGACTAAATGAAAAGGCAATTTGATCACCATTACTTGAAGGTGTATTATTAATATTGTTTCAGCAGATTCTATCAGGTATCAACTGTTCTCTGTATTACACACACAATAATGTGAAATTAATGCTTCTCTTCATTGTCTGAAATATCTGTCCTGAAAATTGAGGGTTAGGGTTCTGGTTTTCTGTCTATGGATATCCTTCAGGAATCCTATATCTTAACTGCAGGACAAAAGTAAGTTGCCCATAAAAAATTGTGCTTTGTAGCTACAGACACCCTGCAGGAATCTTTGATTATAGTTTGGAATATTTATTTGTAATTGAAGCAGAAACAAGCTAAATATGTATCTAACAAAAACAATGTAAAATATTACATGCTGGTTTGTTACCTTTCCAGTTGAGTTGCAGGCAGTGTTCCTGTTGGTAGTTCTTGGGCTCTCCAGTGGCCCAGAGTGTATAGTTCCATGGGGTCCCATCAGCCCAGGTCCACATCCCTTCCTATTGAACAAGATGTGAGACACAATTAAAACTGATGACTTTTAACATTCAAGTTTCAATTAAAAATATTAACGTTAACAATATATAGATACACTATAAAATAAAGGTGAATACTTTTTCAAAGTTCAGTGAATGGATGGATGGATTGATAGATCTTGCTCATTTAAAGGTATCAAAGTAAAACTTAAATTTCATCCAGTCTTTTCATATTAGTGAGTTTGAACCTCATCCACTTCTCTGTTTCAGATAACTACAGCTATTTGCATTAAAGAATGTTTCCTTTTTTCTGTCCAAACTATGACCCTGTGTCCTGCTTTTTCTACACAGTGAGAAAGAGTGTCCTGAATTGAACCTAAACCAAAATCCCTTTCTTGTGTAGCTGTCTGCAGCTCGATATCACCCAATGAAATGTGAGCAGTATATGTTCCTATCACCCATAGATATCACTTTATACTTGACAACGTTACATTTTATTTTTCATGCCTGCCAAATCCACATTGTGTTTGCATTTTTGTATCATGTGTATATTGGATGGATCTATTATATTTCCTATAACAGAATCCAGACAATGTACTTAAAGCAGGAAAAACACTGGGCCTAAGAGATAACCTTGAGTACTTCTGAACCTTTCTGCAGTCCGTGCCTCCCAGCCAGACTGAGTGCTCCCTGTTGTCCTCACTTCTGATCAGGTTCAACAGGAAGGTGTTAACATGCTCATCAGGCACTGAGGGCAGAAGTGACCTCAGCTGATGGCAGTGGTGCTTAGAGGACAGAAACAAAGACACAGTTATACCATCAGAAGTACTGAGAGTGGATAAACATAAGACACTTATTTTGTGTTTAGTATAGCTTGTAGTTTATTATGACACACTAGTATATCCACACACAGTATTACAAATTATATGGCCAGACTTATATTTACTGTTTTTGCAAGGACTGCTGTGAGACAATGAGTTGTCTGGATGGCATATGTTTAATAATGGCCGCCTGACCATAACTGCTGTTGGTGGTTATTACTAAACCGAACTCTGATCTTTAACTTGCTAATGTCATCTGCGCATCAGTGCCTGTGAATAGAGCTAGGCCTACAGTATGAACTGACTGTATACCTACTGAATATCTTCTTCAAATAAGTCTAAACATTTTTAACAACACATTTGTTTAGGGAATGTAAATTAAGAAATTTTTCTAAAATAAGACATCTCAGATAATCCTTTATTTTATATGTTTCTTTAATTCACAACTCAGTTCTAATAACCTATAATGCACCCATAACGTTTCAGCCCCAGCAGGTAATCTGTAGCCTTATAGTCTTTTCGCAGATCACTGTGATTGACTCCATTACAAATCAGCTCTAGACACCTATCAGTAGTCTACATGAATAATCACAGTAAACAAAAACAAAATCTGAAAATGCCTGGAACTTGGACAATATTTACTCTTGCATCAGCCCATGTCATTCTTTCTGTAAAGAACTTGTAGCAGAAGCCATTAAACTTCATCCAGCCTGTTGGACACGTGCACTGGCAGTCATAGGTTCCTGAAACGGTAGACTTGTCAGCTGATATCATCTTTCAGGTGAAGCATCCAACCAACAAGACCACTTTCTGTGTGGATGTAATCATTTTGCATTTAAATATCAGTTTCTTATGTACAAACTGTAACAAACAGTTCTTTCCGGACCCTATGCGGATGACACAATCCGAAATAGTGAGGAAACACTGGGGAAAAAGTAATGCAGGAATACGAGGATGAAAAGAAGGGGGGCGTGTCCATGCAGTGCTGGTGAAGGTGTGGCCGAAGCTAACAATCCAACAATTAAGTCCAGGGGAGAATCCAAAAAACAAGCAAGAGTCCATGGCCCGGTAATCCATCAAAAACAAGGGACTAAAAACAGGTGCCGGGTTGGGACCGGTGGGGGGAACAGGAACAGGAGCAGGAAGCTAAAACCATAACGGAGCCAGGCACAACCAGGTCCCAGGCTCGCACGATGTGGAAATCAGATGCAGAGCCACGATTAGCAACTGTGTCTGGCTTTTAAAGGGACACGAAGGAGACTGGAACAAGGGGCAGGTGTGGGGAATAAGACAAACAAGGAAGAGCCGGAGCGCCCTTAAGGAGGAGGGACTACAATCGTGACACAAACAGGTACAGAAGTCCAACAGCAGTCCATTTATTGCTTGTAAAAATGTACGAGACAGCCATGCCATACAGAAACTGGAGTAAAGTACCTATCCTACCAATCAAACTGAATGAAAAATAAGTAGTTCAGCTGGGTAGCTGCGTCAGCATGCGTAAGCTGCAAAGGAACAAGTAATTGGTTTATTCCACGCTGAAAAGAGAAGAAAGAAAACACAGCGTTTCAGCTGTGGAGCCTTGGAATAAACCTATTACTTGAATTAAAAATAAGTTTACTTTTGCTTTAACTTTGCTATTGGATACATTTTTAAATACATTAGAATAAAAGGCCATAGTAGATGTGACCTCACACTGTAAAACAACTTTTCATTACCCAATAAAATTGAAGAGAGACTGAGACACATACAGATGGAGCCATTCAAAGTGCGCGGTACAGACACGTGGTACAGACGCGGAGGTAATTGGCTACGGCCTCGCGCAAAATACCGCGGTACGTGATTGGTTGACCGACAGGGGCACTCGTGGTCCGTTGCTTGGTCATAGAAAGATTTAAATGTCTTTTCTGTGCCCGTTTTAGTATTGAATATTTATATGGAATTTTACCACTGAAGGGAAATCTTAGTAGCTGAGCATAAAAAGAATAGGAGCATACTGTAA